TTTATTGTAAGCCGCCCGGAGTCCTTTGGGAGTGGGCGGTATACAAGACCAACAAACATCAACATCAAACATTGTCAAAAATCAAGAGTTTTTTCAAATGTACAGAATTCTGTAAACAGTTTTGTCTGCTCAACACAAGAGGACACTTGTTTCGGAACATTTGGCTGCAGTCTAATATTCCACATTCACTATTAACCACCAGAATTAGAACATCTTTATTTGCAATGGTTTTTATCACTACTAATTACATGTTTTTTAAAAAGCATCTAAAATATTGTTTGAACTAAAGTAGCGAAAGAAGCAAGCATATTGTAGTATTTACATCATGTAATAATTTATACTACCTTTACTGAAAATGCAAAAGAATTCTTACATCAGCAACCTATTCCCAAAGGATTAACAAATTTTATATAGGAACAGTCAATCAATAAAATTCAACAATGCAAATTAAGCTTGGAAATCATCATCATGATCCAGGTCTAAATTTAAAGCAAGAAATAATGTATGTGTAAATGTGGACATAACTAGAACATTGCAATGTGAACAGTACAAGATATGTTCATGGATGAGCAATTCATCCTACAGTAAATAAATTGGTAAGGCCCAATCCCCAACCAAATAAGACAACTTCCTTTAGACTCTTAATATGATTAAACATAATCAAATTATAAATCACAAAGCTAGTATGGCATTTCATATGATCAAATGACATAGCTCTACCAAAAGGGAACAGGAAAAAGGAAAATTATGTCAAAACTATATATCAGAAATCTAAACAAAATGTATACAGTATTTGCAAAAGTGTTTCATGTTTCTATATTCTAGCAGGCCTAAAGGGCTGCAGGATCAAAATGTTCCAATAACTTGCGCCTGAAAATGTATGAGCCCTAAAAATGGCATATTTAGTTGTCTCCCAGGTTCTTTACTTTGTCTCTGTCTATGTGAGATCAGCCGTGTTTGGGAATTAAGAATCTTCTATCATAGATTTCTCCTGTTCCCTTAAAAATGATTTGTTTCAGGAGACTCACGGCAGAAGTAAAGGAAAAAAAGTTCTCAGAACATAATGTTTTCCTTGCTGGTGCTCATATTTGGTCACAGATAAACTTTGTTCATTATTTATTCCATTATTTTATTAGGTAAATATTTCAGTTTGTTATTTCTGAAGATACATGGCTTTATTAATTCTTACATTTATATCTCTTATATTAACTCTGCTGCTTAATGTCTGGGTTTTCATATTGCACTAGACCATGGTTTGTTAAGCTAGCCGTAGCTGCCTGAATTGCAAATAAACTTAGAAAATAAAGAAGGAATGCATAACGTCTTGCTATCTGGGGACCACACTTAATTAACTTTTCTGAGGCAAAACTGCAGTAAGATAATTATATAAAGAAAGCAGGACCGTGTTTTTGAATGAGCGTAGAATCGGGATTATTACTTTTTGCCTGAAACTGGGATGGGGTAATTGTAAGGTGACCAGATTTTCAGATTATAGCAGTAGACTTATATACCGCTTCATAGGCCTTTCAGGCCTCTCTAAGCGGTTTACAGAGAGTCAGCATATTGCCCCCAACAATCTGGGTCCTCATTTTACCCGCCT